GAGAGAGAGAGAGAGAGTTACAGATTCTGTGTACTTTTCTTCAAACAAACAAACAAGAAAAAACTGAGAAACTAACAACCCCCCCCAAAAAACCCAAAAAAAACAAACCCAGACAGCGTGGCTCCATAAATAATTGAACTGAGTAGGTGAGGAAGTTACACAACAGACAAACACTACTAAAAACAAAACAAAACATGACCAACTGACCTGTCTTTGTCAAAGTCTCGGCCAAAGAGGATGTTTTCTCGGGCTGTTCCGTTCATGATCCAAGGCTCCTGGCTTAGGAACGCCATCGAGCCAGACAATTTGATCTCACCTTCCAAAAGTTGCATCTGATGAACAGACAGTCTATTTTTGTAAAGATTTACTAAGAATTTTACGGCACTTGAAAAAAAGAAAGTCATGATAATACGTACATTAAGCGTCGAAGGGATAGACAATTTAGTTAAGATAAAGTAAGAGTCTTATGGCACTTGAAACGCAAATAGGTCATAAAATAAGTGCCGAATGGATAGACAATTTGTTTTAGTATAAATTTAGCATTTTCTTACATTAATTGAAACAGAAACAGGTTATATAATAAGCGGTGAGTCAATCTGGTTAATTTAAATTTAGTAAGAGCTTTTCGGCACTTCCAACACATATAGGTTATCTGATAAGTGACGAATGGGAAGACAATTGGCACAACTGGCATCAAGAACTACGCTAATAATAACAACAACAGTAGCAGAAAGGACAACAACAGTAACAACGAAAATAAGAACAACGACAACAAAAACAATAACAGAAAAGACTACAATAACAACGACGACAATTGATCATCATCATCATCATCATCATTATCATCATCATCATCATCATCATCATCATCATCATCATCATCATCACCAACACTGATAATGACAGCAGACAACAACAAGCATAGTTAGGTCAGAGTATTGAGTAATGCATCGACGATGAAAGTGTTGAATAGAAAAATAGATAACGAATCGTGCTATCTAACCAGTCGTGATTTTCATGAACGATAACAGCAGCAGAAAGGACAACAACAACACAACACAAACAACAATCAGAACAGAAATAACAAAAACAACAACGAAAACAACACCATCAACAACTAGTAAAAAGAAGTACATGATCACAAAAATTGGCCACTTGTTAGTTCTAGAAAAACCTAGATGGACTCACAGATGAAAACAATTAAAAAAGTAAAAATCAAAAGTAGCCTGCTCCACCATTACACGAAACAGCAACAACAACAAACTACCAACAATAGCAGTATAGACAAAACAACAACTACAATAACAATGACTGCAACAACAACTGCAAAAAAGAACACTTTTATAATGAAGCTTCTGGTCCCCTCTTTTGCAGACAGACACAAAAGAGAGCTCCCACCTTTTGAAATACCAGGAATATAGGTGTAACTCTATAAGGTCACAGCTGACACGTCAGATTTTATTATGCCCCATCTGCAGCGGACATTAAAAATGATTTGAAATGTGTCGATGTGGGCTTAAAATATTAGAACTTGCAATTTAAAAAATGAGTAAGAAGGTCGATGTGACTACGGTACTTACCCTGCCCAGGAAAGCAGCCAGAAGAGAACTTTTCCCGCTGCCCTTCATGCCACACACGCCCACAAGCTCGCCCTGAAAAATAAAACCAAACCGTGAGCTGATCGTCCGAGGGGTCATTTTATGGGCTCAACACCCATTCCAACCATCATCATAGCCTTTACTCACCCCCGTGCAGGGTATAGGCCACCAACAAACACTTTCCACATTTCCCTTTCCAGATATAGCCTCTTGATGTTATTCCATGTCTTCCCACTTTTCTGTACATCAAAGTCCGTGGCTCTTCTCCAGGCTCCATGCGGTCTTCCCCTTAATCTTTTCCCATTTCAATGGGAAGGTTGTTTAAGTCTGGGGCTCCGAATCTAACGTCTATCTACGACAGGATCTAGCTAGCCAAATGGGCGGAGAAGCTATAAAACTTCCAATAAGCAATCCAGCTTTAGAACGCCTCGTTGGGGATTTGAGCTAGGTTAACCCGCTTCAATATCCAGCATGATACCAACTGAGCTAACGGTGCGCCCGCAGTGGACTAACTAGGATAGATAGTTTGGGGTGAAAATAGAGAATTATTTCATTATCAACATAATAACGGTTTTTGGCAGCAGAGGGAAGCAAGATAGACAAACATGAAAGAGATGGAGAGAAAAGAAGTATGACTTATCAATGACATTCCCAACCCCCTCAATTAAATACAATAAAGTACAAGCGAAGACAAGAAGGGATAGATATCTTTTAAGGAACACCCGGCCTGCAAAAAATGAATAATTTAAGCCAAAGTTCTTCTGAGATGAGCGAAAGACACCTCCCCCCAAACCCTTTCTTCTTTTCCTACTACTTGAAGTGAAGCATAGCATGAAGGCTAGTTCTTTTGTTTGTGTTTTTGTAAAGTGTTTTACGGCGCTCGCAACTTCATAAGGTCATATGAGCGCGCGGGACACACCTAATATTTTTCAGTTGGTAGGAA